TGATGTATGATTTATTTTTATTTAGCCTGCTTAGCACATGATTTTTTCCAGCCAATGGACTCACATTTTTCTTCAATTTCAAGTCATTATTTTTGTGTAAACTATATTTTCTTCTATTTTTTCTCATTCTTAACCTTGTCTTTGGTGTATGTCATTGCATTTCATTTAATTTAAGCTCTGTGTCTCTTAATGTCTTTCTTTTTCCCCCTGATGATATATTGGTATACTCCCTGTAATGATATATAACTTCAGCTTGGCCTTCCAATTCATGAATTGTTTCTCCAGCTTTTTCATGCCTACTATTTAAGCTGTCTGTTGGGTTTTGTTGTCTTATTTTTAAAAACTGTATTTCTCCCCATTTTTGAATTATATATAAAAAATATCTATGTACTGCCATTTTGTAAACCCCTGTTATTGTTTCTTGAGGTCTTGTTCTCTTATTTATTGCTTTAAGGTATTTAAATATTTATTTAAAGTCTATTTCTGATTGTTTAAATATGCGTATTTTCAGGTGTGAATTCCCACTTTTGTTAGATTTCTTGATAGCTTTCCTTAGTTCCAAATTTCCCCCTGCTTTTTAAAATTTTTGTCTAAAAGCTCATCATCCATGGTTTTTCTCTCGCATAAGTCCTTCCTTTTTGTGATAGCATTATTTTCAGGCTTTGTAGCTTACTTAGCATTAAACCAGGTCGTATGTTGGTATCCCACCTTGGACTCCATCATGTCTGAATAGTCTGCTTCTACCTCTGTTTTCTTGTGCAGGGCTAGTCCTTGGATTGGGACATCAATTGCAGCTGCCTTTCTTGGGCAGTCAGTCCATGCAAGAGAATGAACTTGAGTGGGCAAACTACGTCAGCCCCTGTTCACATGTGAAGAGTGTGACTCTTAAGTCCTCAGATTTACACAGGAAGCCAATTGTAGGCCATAGTTCTGGCTCAGCTGCCTGGATATAGCTATCTATATCTGATCTGAACTGCCAGTGGAGCATATCTTGTTGGCCCTCATTTATTGCTGTACTTGCATTTTGCCTGTGTTTTATTTAATAGAGTTTCCTTTTGTTTCTGAGGATGATTTTGCAGTTTTAAAGTTTTATTTATTTATTTTTACTTTTATATTTCATCTCTTACTCTTCTTTGTTTGGAAAATAGCACAGTATTTTCTCATGTGCTCTCTCTGCCATATTGACCTGGAATGCAAATCAGCTATTATTTCTTTCTGTTGAAGATAAAACAAGAATAAACAGGTTTAAACTATAGCAGAGAATAATGGAGTTTGATAAAAGAAAGAACTTTGGGACACAGTGGTTGTTAAATCCTAGAATAAATGACTAAGGAGAATTTTAGTCTCTTTACTGCATGTTTCTGGAAATAAAAAGGTATCCACCCATCTGAGATGGAGTTGGCATAGTTTTGCTTTGAGACAGGGCAATGGATGTGATGACTTCTCTGTATTCCTTCCACCCCAATTATTATTAGGCATGAGGAAACTCATGCCTTCAGGGCCACAGGAATGTTTGGTCAAAGGAAGGGGCTCTAGTTTTGTGTCTTAACCCAAAGGAAAGCACTGTGATGAAAACATATTCACTGAAAAATAGAATATTTAAATCCAAGGTAATGAACAATTTCTATATCAATAAGGGAAATCAAATAAGGGAGCCATATATCCAATGTTTTATATGCAATCTTACAGCCATATCAACTTCAGGGAATGTTTAGTGGGTAGTGATGGACTTGGTGGGAAGGTCCTACCTGCCATGCCGAGAGCCCATCTTCCACTGGAGGAGACAGAGGAGACTTCACCCCCCTGTCTGTTTCTGTGTATCCCATGGCTCTTGCTTTCTAAACTTCTTACCCCTTGAAATTTCCAGTGTTCTCACCTGCATTTGAACTTCTCTCTTGTAACTCCTGCTGAACCATGGAAATCAGAATATGCAGACTGCTTTTCCAGAATTACCAAAGAGAAATCTAAGTCAATTCTTATGAAGAGCAAGTGAAAACATTTTCTCCAGCACTTCCCTTGGTCTCCATGGTAGAGGTTAAATCTTGATCACGTACCACAGTTCTCTACTGGGGCCAAAGTGGCTGGTAGTACAGGAAGGGTAGAACATTCTTAATAAGAATGTCAAGACTGTACTGGAGTCAGAAAGGTCATTAAATTCATCCCAGTCTCTAAGCAGGAGTCAGTCTATTATCCTTAATGAGAGATTTGTTGGAATGGAATTTCATATCTTCTCTTTTGGAGGCAGTTGAATGGTAAAGGGGAAAGGGGGAGAGAAAGAATATGACTTGTTTCCTTTTGTTCTTCATGTATAATTTTATCACCGAGATGACTTTTGTAGTGATTAGGAGCCTAAATCACAAAATTATGTAACAGTTTTCTTAATTGATCATTCCATTAAGAATTTGTTATTCAGAATGGATAAATTTTGGTTCCATTAGAAGTAGTCCAACATTCCCGGGTCATTAAAGAGCTGTTATGAATTTGCCAAAATATCTGATTTGATCTGTTACCAGAGACTTAATCTAGTGTTTCCTTTAGGCTAGATGTGAAGAGGTTTAGTTCTATGATATGGTTTTAGTAGAGAGACTGAGAGTGTGGTTTTGCCAAGAGAGGCACTCCTCACCCCAGTCTTTTACATTCCAGTTAGGTTAAGGAAACACCCTTTCCAAAAATGCCCTGTGCTCCCATAAGGAGATGCTGGAAGTCCTATGCCATTTCTCTCTTGACAGGAGAGCTAGCTAGTGAATATAGGCATTTCTGCTATAATGCAATATGTGCTTTTCTGAAAATCCTCCCATTCTGCTAAACTGTACACTGAAAAATAACAGGGCTTAAGGAAAAAAACAAGATTGGAGCGGACAACTCTGAACTTGTGCAACTTTGTAACTAGAGTACTAATAAAATAACTATACTAATAAAATACTAGTGTGGTTTAAAAGGCATCTTAGATTTCTAATAAAAAAAAGAATATTACAGTAAGTAGAGACTTCATCCTTTAAAATGGTGACTTCAGCTTAAAGGAAGGAGGTATAAAAAAGGGTTGAGGCCACTGAGTTACAGAGACAAGAGAAAAATGCCCAAGATCAGAATCATGTGATAAGCATTTGGAAGACCAAGCATATGGCCAAACTGAGCCAAGAGGAAGAATGTGTGGTGAATAGCAATAGGATAGAGTACTGTGTCCTTCCATGGTTTACAGAATTTCAGTTGTGTTAGTGTATACTTGGCATCTAGTTACTATCTCTTGATGGTGCAAAATATGAATTTGCTAAGAAAAATCATGCCTCAACCAATGCAGTTTCTATTTTATATCAATATCATTTTCTTATCTACCACTTACATATGAACATGTTTGGATTACACAAGTCTATACTCTAGCAGAAACAGACTATGTGAGATAGGAGGTAGCTATGTGGCATTTGGCCTTGGACAGTTTAGAGTGAGGGTTGCAAATCACTCAGCCACTCTGAATCTCTTTTTTTCGTCTGTAATCGCTGCCGTGTCTGCATTTTGTATTCCTGTACATTTGTATAAAAAGAGGAGTCTAGTTGTAGGACTATGTCTGTTTCCATATCTGCGACTTCCAGTGTTTCAGGAATCAAGTAGACAAGTCTTTTTAGCTCCTTCCAATTGTTTTTTTTTTTAAGGGCACAAGTTCAAGGGGGAGATGCATCTATTTTTTTGTTGTGGTAAAGTACATATAACATAAAATTTATGACTTTGCAGTGTATAATTCGTGGCGTTAAGAACATTCACAATGTTGTGCAACATCACCACTAACCTAGTTCCTGAAATTTTTTACCACCTCAAAAAAGGAAACTCTGTGCCTGTTAAATAGTCACTCCCCATTACCCCTCCTGCCTTAGCCCCTGGCAACCACTGATTTGCTTTCTGTTTCCATGGATTTTACTATTCTGGACATTTCATATAAATGAAACCATAAAATATGTGACCTTTTGCATCTGGCTTCTTTCACTTAGCATAATGTTTTAAGATTTATCCATGTTGTAGCATTTATGAGTAATTTATTCCTTTTAATAATTGAATAATATTTCATTGTATGGATATACCACATTTGCTTATACATTCATCAGTTGATGGACATTTGAGTTGTTTTTACCTTCTGGCTATTGTTAATAGTGCTGTGAACATTCAGGTGTAAGTTTTTGTGTGGCATATGTTTTCTACTATTTTCAGTATATACCTAAGAGTGGAATTTCTGAGTCATAGGGTAATTCTGTGTTTAACTTATTGAGGAATCGCTTCCAAAATTTAAAACCATCTCATTTTTTTATGATTCATCTCTGCTGCCACCTCATGTTTGCTGCTGATTGCTGCTGTTGCCATCATCCATGTTTGATCGCCATTGTGCTCTTCTTGCTCCTTTTGCTCTTTTCTGAATTCTGTATTCACTTGCCTCCTGGGTTTGATTGAAAAAGATCAACTACTTTTACATAGTAACAGCTAATTAGCATATTATTTACCTTCAGTAAGGGAACTCCAAAGTCATAGTATACAAGATGATCAGTCAAGGGTCATTTCTTTTCATACAAAAGTTTTTGTTTTTTGGCTTTGAGGGATCTTCGTTCCCTGATGAGGGATTGAACCCACACCCTTGGCAGTGAAAGCACCAAGTCCTAACCACTGGACTGCCAGAGAATTCTCAAAAGATTGGTATGTTTTTAACAAAACTCTTTCTGGATCCAGAGCTATCCAAAAGCTTGAGGATTCTGGAATGTTGGTCTCTGGGATAGCAGAGGTTATACTTTATTGTTATTATTATTATTATCATTGTTAGCATTCTTATACTGATTGTTGAGAAGTGGCCGCAGAGATATTCGCTATTGATCAGTAGGCCCTCCATGTCTATACTGACTGCCCTGTTACCTCTTAGACCTCTTTCACTGTCTTCCATGCTTTATTTCCATTATTTTCCTCATATACTTGTTCCTTGAACACTGCAGAGTATAAAGGATTAAAACTTCTCCAGTAAAGTGGCACTTAACTTGCCTTCTGCCAGGTGAGGTGATCTTTGTATCTGGTAAACCCTGGGGATTTAGTTGCTTTTTAAAAGAGAATATGGGAGAAAGACTCAGTGGCTGGGTTGTTGCAGCCACGGTTGCCCGACCAGGAACCCGAGCCGAAGAGTCATCGTCAGAATGTCGGGCAAAGACCGAATTGAAATCTTTCCCTCGCGAATGGCACAGACCATCATGAAGGCTCGGTTAAAAGGAGCACAGACAGGTTGAAACCTCCTGAAGGAAAAATCTGATGCCTTAACTCTTCGATTTCGACAGATCCTTAAGAAGATAATAGAGACTAAAATGTTGATGGGTGAAGTGATGAGAGAAGCTGCCTTTTCACTTGCTGAAGCCAAGTTCACAGCCGGGGACTTCAGCACCACAGTTATCCAAAATGTAAATAAGGCCCAAGTGAAGATTAGAGCAAAGAAAGATAATGTAGCAGGTGTTACATTGCCAGTATTTGAACATTATCATGAAGGAACTGACAGTTATGAACTGACTGGTTTAGCCAGAGGTGGGAAACAGTTGGCTAAACTGAAGAGGAATTATGCCAAAGCAGTGGAACTGGCTTCACTGCAGACTTCCTTTGTTACTTTGGATGAAGCTATTAAGATAACCAACAGGCGTGTAAATGCTATTGAACATGTCATCATTCCCCGGATTGAACGTACCCTTGCTTACATCATCACAGAGCTGGATGAGAGCGAGAGGAGTTCTACAGGTTAAAGAAAATACAGGAGAAGAAAAAGGTTCTCAAGGAAAAGTCTGAACAGGACTTGGAGCAATGGAGGGCAGCCGGAGAGGTGATGGAGCCTGCTAATCTCCTGGCTAAAGAGAAGGATGAAGATCTTCTGTTTGAATAAGCTTTCCTGCTCTGGTTCTTTCAGAAGGCCTAACATGTCACCATTTTAATTCATGGTGTGTAGGTTTGTTACGTGTGGCTGTTTATTTTTTGGCTTAAGAATTTCACCAGTTGTAAAATTTCCCTGGATGTCTGTTTATGGGATCTACCTTTGCAGAATCATAATTAAGCAACAATTAATCACCAGTGAAATTTGTAGAACCTGTCCCGAAACCTGTAGAATTTATGCTGCAGAAGTGTCACCCTGCTTTAATTATACATCTGTTACAATTCATCTGCTTATCGAACATAAGAAAATCCCTTTAGGAAGCAGCAGTGCTCTCAGGCCAACACACATTCATAGGCCAGCTACTCTGGAGCACCCTTTGTTCCTACCTGCTCACACACCTTGGCATCATTGTCTGAGATTGCTACAGCCATTCTTGTGTTAGTTATATGGGACATCTCTCCTTATGCTTTAGGAAAACCTTCACTTATTTTTCCTTGAATAACAGGTCTCTGGTCTGTCATGGGAACAGTTCTGCCAATTCAAATGTGACTGTGGTATAAACAGTAAAATGATTTAAAAATGAAAAAATAAAAAATAAAAAAAAATTAAAAAATAAAAAAGAATATGATTTCCTGTTTGTATTTGAGGAGCCCTTATGCCGTATAAGAACAAGACTAAATTTAGGACAGCTATAGCTTTCTATCATGGTAGCGCACAGCTCTTCTATTTCTTTCTATGGATGTTAATCAAAATTGTCCCCACACAGAGGTGAAGAAGGTGGAGCATTATTGAGGAATACTGAAAAGCCCCATTTGCCTGAAATAAAATCTTCCATATGCTCGCTATATTTTTAAAAACCTCCACCATTACAATCACTCTTCTAGGTTAAGACACTGTTTCCCAAAGTTAGCTGCAGGGAACATGATTTTATGGGATAATGGTAGGGTTAACTAGAGAAAACATTTATATGGTCAAATAAACTCGAGAGTTTCTGGATTAGAGAAAGGTAAATAGGTTTCTTTTTTTTAAGATAGGTTTCTTTTAATACAGGACTTCTCAGAGCCTTTAATAGATTAATATGCATTATGAATCTATAAGTGAGTGTATGGGATGCAGTATTTTCCAAACTTATTCAGCCATAGGACTTTTTATTTTTGGCTGTGCCACATGGCTTGTGGGATCTTAGTTCCCCAACCAGGGATTGAACCCTTGCCGCCACAGTAAAACTGCAGAGTCCTAACCAGTGGACCTCCACTGGGAATTCCTGGGACCTTTTTTTCGTAGAGCATTTTGAAGGATTAGTGTTCTTTAATATATGTTTTAAGAAGTCTTGGATTATGCCATTCCATTTCTAGAAGCTATTTATAGCAACAAGCTATTGAGAATTCCACGACAGAGGAACCTGGTGGGTTATGGTCCATGGGGTCACAAAGGAGTCGGACACAACTGAGCAACTAACACTTATTGGTAAATATAATGTCTTAGTTTGGAGAAGTTCATTCGAGTAGCAAGCTGTTTTAGAACAGGACCTCAAATTCATGTTACTCGAACTTTAGTGTGCTTAAAGGGATTTGATAAAATGCAGACTGCCCTACACTAAAATTTCTGATTTGTTTGGACTGTTGGGGGTATTCTGCATTTTAAACAAGTACCTCAAGTGATTCTGTTGCACTTGGATGGTGAACGACATAGGGTAATAGGGCCCTGGGGAAAGCTTGATAAAGGAGGTCAGGAGCACTGCCCTTAGAGAGCAGTCCTGGGCAAGATCTTGGAGTAGAGGCCCCTGCACATCTGCAGAGGGCTGTGGGCAACTTGACAACATTGTTTCTCTGGTAATGGGGAGCACAGGCACACCGGAAACATACTTTGCCTGTGTGACACTCCTCTCAGATCAACCCTGCAGTGACATGTACTCACTGTTCCCTCTGGCTGGCCTCCCTACTCTCCCAGAGCTCCCACCCAACGCTTTTCTCTTTTGCCATTGTCCACATTCAGAGCTCCTGGCTGTCAGGTCCAGAAAGAAGGACCCTCCGTGGGGAGCTCACCCCTCTACCCCACCCATTGTCCATGACTTGTTGGCGAGAAATGAATGGCATTTCTCGGAATTAGCCCAGGAATTTCTGCTGATAAACAAATGAAACTCTCAAAGGGAAAAGCAATCAACATAGTTTGAAATAAAATCAGTGTTTTCAGCTTAGTCTGTTTTCAACTTAATTTGAAATAAGAGTCACATCTAGGGTATTTTAAGGAAAGGATTAGTAAAATGTCCTTTAGAGAGATTTCTTCCTGGTTGCAGGGCTGATCCAGAGATCAGGGCCTGCTTTCTGAGTAAGCAGAGCAGGAGATGATTACCTGCACTTCCTATGACCTGTCCAGCCAGCATTGTGTCAGACTTCTCCTCTCCCACTCTACTTCCCTGCTACGTTAACCTGGTACCTGAAATGCTGTTATTCTTAAAGCTTCATCTTTTTATTTCAGACTTTGATTCCTGATAAATTAATCTCTCTTTGGAGGTGATAACTCTTATTAATCATTTTTTAAAACTTTTTATTTTTATATTTGGGTATAGCCAATTAACAATATTGTAATAGTTTCAGGTGAACAGTGAAAGGACTCAGCCATACATATACATGTATCCATTCTTCCCAAACTCCCCTCCTATCCAGGCTGCCACATAACATTGAGCAGAGATCCCTGTGCTATACAGTAGGTCCTTGTTGATTATCCATTTTAAATATAGCAATGTGTACATGTCCGTCCCAAACTCCCTAACTATCTTTTCCCTTTGGCAACTGTAAGTTCATTCCCTAAGTCTGTGAGTCTTATTAATCATTTTTCATTTGACCAGCACACAAGATTTAGAAAACAGAATCTGACGGTAGTGAGTGGTGGTGGTGAGCTGGGGGAGATCCTGAGGCCACTAACCGCAGGGGCAGGTAGCCAAGGAAATCAGGCTTTCAGTTCAGTTCAGTTGCTCAGTCGTGTCGGACTTTTTGCGACCCCATGGACTGGAGCACGCCAGGCCTCCCTGTCCATCGCCAACTCCCAGAGTTTACTCAAACTCATGTCCGTTGAGTCAGTGATACCATCCAACCATCTCATCCTCTGTCATCCCCTTCTGTCCCACCTTCATTCTTTACCAGCATCAGGGTCTTTTCAAATGAGTCGGTTCTTCGCATCAGGCTTTACCTTTTGTATAGTCCTGCGGAGACCAAGCCTCTCTGTATTGTCAGGGATAAGTTCTTTATTCGTGGCAGAAGGCACAGTGATTTCTAGAATTAATTGCCAGCTCTCAAGTTTTTCATTTTGGTGGTGTTAATTTAAAACCAATATGTTACAGAAGTAACCGAATATCCTTGCTATCTGTTGCCTAGAGCCAAAGGGTTTCACTTCAGGGTTTTGGATGCAAAATGACTATAACCCAAAAGTTTTACCAGATTATTTGTAGCCACTAAGATAAACAGCAGTCTTTATTAGAGTGATTTTCCTCTGATTTTTATATCTAGATTTTTACACTGTCAGCTATTCCCTCAAAGTGATTTTAGAAACAGGCGGACTGAGGATGTCAGTTATTGAAGTCTGTTCCAAAATCCACCTCCTCACAGGACTCCATTTTTTTGGCCATAAAAGTAGTCTATTTAAGAAATATATTGATGTGTTGCCTCTTGTCTTCGCCACATACACTGTAAGACACAGAGAGTAGGAAGTGATCCAGCAATAGGTGTGTGGCTGCTGAAACAGTGTTATATTTTTTTAGGCTGCACTCCCTGAATTGGAGAGAGGTTATGAAGTATATGCACTGTATCTTTAAAAGAAATGGATAAATCAAAGTCGTCTGCAGGAGGGGGACAAAAAAGGTGGTTTGGATATTTTTTTAATTGAGTAGAAAGAGAAAGACATCAAACTTGGGAGTAGAGATTACTTTTAAAACAGAGAGATAAGGTAAGTGTCCCTGCAAGTTTAGTTTTTCTCTCCTTTAACAAATTCATGCAGCTTTGATGTCCTCACATTTATGAGATCATGCCCTCAGGGATCTAAGGTCAAATCAGAGTCCACACTCACCACCCTACCTTTTATAAGCTGTATTCCTTCATTATTTTAATAGGCGAAAAATGGGGGATTAGGATTAGGGAGCAGAAGGAGCAGGGAAATGTGGCTTGCTTTCTTCCTCACTTTGTTTCTCTATTTCCCTTGCTCCCTCTTCCTTCCTTCTCTTTAAAAATCTTTTCATTTGTGACAAATTTTATGGAATAAAGTATACATATATTGTAGCAAAATTTCCCATTTTAATAACTTTCAATTGTACAGTTCTGTGCCGTTAAATGCACTTACATTTTTGTGTAACCCTCACCACCATCCATCTTGGGAATTTTTTCATCTTCCCAAAGTGAAATTCTATTCCTAAAAACCACTCCCCATTTCCCCTCCCCCAGCTCCTGGCCACCACCATTCCACTCTCTGTCTCTGTGAATTTGACTACTCTAGGCACCTCATGGAAGTGGAATCATGCAGTATAGTTCTGTGTATCATGTGTATGTGTATATTTCTGTGTATCATGCAGTATATTTCTTTTGTTCCTGGCTCATTTCACTTAGCAGAATGTCTTCCAGGTTCATGCATGTTGTACCATGTCTCTTTTTTAAATGGAAATGAACAATGGAAAAGAAATGTGAGAAGAGGCTGGTGGTAGAGATGAGAAAGCAAAGTCAGGAGATAACCAAGGGGTCTTAGAAGAATCTAGCAAATGTTGGTTTTCTGAGCATATTTTTCATAGGATGAGGGGGACCAAGTCATCTTTGACAGTGACAGAACTGACAAGCAATGAGTCCCAGTGATAACTGTGTAAAATGCTGGGTTTTGAAAGATAGACATATTCCTTATTAATGTTTCCCAGGGAATTTCAGAGAGCATCATGTATTAGGAGCTGATTTCCAGCAGGTTTTGTTATCTTTTGGAGAACTCCTTAGGGGTAGAACTCTTTCCCTGTTTCCCTTTACCTGTCCTCCACTTGCCCTCCATTGCTTTTTGAGGGCAATTGTGTTTGGAGCTATTTGGTACGGTTTTATTAGAAAGATTACTAAGGGATTAACTAGAGTATCAAACTTATGAGGCAGTGTTGAAGGAAAAATGAAATTACTGAGCCTGGTGAAAGAAAGATAGAAAGGATTTCAACAAACTTCAGAAAGATAAATGGATTTTAGAGCATGCTGATCAACTTTCTCCTTCCATCTCCAAAGGGGAACAGTGGGCAAAAGTGAGCTTCAGCAAAAAAAAGTTAGGTACAAGGAACTACTTCCAGGCACAAATAAGGTGAGCAGAAGTCTTTTTAATATTTATTTTTAATTGAAGGATGATTGCTTTACAATGTTGTGTTCTTTCTGCCATACATCAACATGAATCAGCCGTAGGTATATACATGTCCCCTCCCTCTTGAACCTCCCTCCCACCCTCCAAGGTTGTCACAGAGGACTAGGTTGAGGGGAGCAGAAGTTTTTTGAAAGTCAATATATTATACCTCAAGCCTACTGCTGAGTAAGAGGAAGATGCACCTACGTGCACAAATACACATAATGCAATTCAATTAACATGAGGGTCGAATTAGACAAAACTAAACTATATTGTAGAGGGAGGTGCATAAATGTAATACAACTATAATGAAAACGAGGTAACAATTGTCCCAAAAGTCAGGATGGTGGTTACGTCCAGTGGGGAAGGATGGAGCCTTCTGGGGTGTTGGCATTGCTGTCTTTCTTGACCTGTGTGGTAGTTACAGGTATGTTTGCTTTCTAATCATCAATTCAACTGTACATTTATGTTTTAGGTGTGTCAGTTTTATTTCCCGGCATAGCATATGTTTAAATGACACTACATTTTCATTTGTTTTGGGTAGCTACGATTGGAGGCAAAAGGTGACCAGAAGACCTTCAAGTGTTATAATCAAGCATAAGATTGTGTATATGCATACGGCTGTTTTGAGACTACTATTTTTGTTTGATGGAATGCTCAGTTGCTTCAGTCATGTCCTGCTCTTTTGCGATGCTGCTGACTGTAGCCCACCAGGCTTCTTTGTCCCTGGGATTTTCCTAGCAGGAATACTGGAGTGGGTTGCCACGCCCTCCTCCAGGGGATCCTCCCAACCCAGGGACTGA